AGGTGACAAGACTGGAACAAACCGTATATACTGTGATTGGACAGAAGGATTGATAATCTATTAAGTAGGCGAATTGTCAATAGTTGTGATTAGTTGTGTATAATATTAATGTATAGTCACTCCGAGTTTACGATAGTGCATTGTTTTAAATGTAAAAATAATAAAAATATATTGGAAAAAAACCCCCAAATAAATACACTTAATGAATAAACAAACTTTGCAAGAGAGAAAACGATTGTACCTGGTGAGGGCAGCAAAGAGACTCACAATGGTTGGCAGGCACACCTTTAGGGGGTTCAACTGGCACAGAATGATGCGCTCAAAGTTTAATCTTTGTAAGTAGGCCAAACCTTGAAAACAGAATAGCAATAGCAATAGCAGTTAGACCTATATACCGCTTCATAGGGCTTTCAGCCCTCTCTAAGCGGTTTACAGAGTCAGCATATTGCCCCCAACAACAATCTGGGACCACAGGAATATACTATGTTCAGTCTTGGCTACATTTCACAAAATTCAATTCTAACAGACACACATTTAAATTGTTCTGATGTTGTGGAGGTTTCCAAAAGACACTATTCTCCGGGAAACTTGGCTTAGCACAGGGGTGTCAAACTGAAGGCCTGTGGGCTAGATCCGGCCCACAAGGTGCTTAGATCCGGCCCGCGGGCCAGCCTCGGAAACAGCAAAGGGCCAACCCACAATGCCTCTGCCAGTGGAAACGGAGCTCAGGGAGGCAGGGTGAGCTCCGCTTTCACTGGCAGACGGTTGCAGGAGGCTGTCGCGGCTGAAAACGGAGCCTCGGTGACTGATGTTGAGTTGGCCCTGGGGGAGTGACGGGAGTGAGGTCAAGCACAACGCTGAGGTGGCCCTCAATGAAATAAGAGTTTGACACCCCTGACTTAGTAGATTCTTAGTAGATCAATGAGAAAAATGCATAAAGGTAGTTCTCAGTTTACAACCCTCATTTTTAGTTATTTTTTTTGAAGTTACAAAATCACTGGAAAAAGTTTGAAAACAGCACTGGAAAAAGTAGGCAGTTTGTGGGAATGTAATGATTCTAGGCTGATTCCTCTCTTGACTCCACCCCACAGGTCCAGCCTGTCCTTTGCCTCCAGCATCCAAGGCTAGAAACGGACATGTTCCGCCCACCTCTTCTTCTGCTTGTCTGGGGAACATCGCCTGCTCACCTTTCTTGAGATTTCCATCCAGGATCTGCTTGTGGCGAAAGATGACTATGTAGAATACAGCCTGGCAGGCGGCGTAGAACGGACCGTGGAGCGCAACGTCGCAAAATGCTCGGGACCCCGTGCCCTGATTGTCGATGTAGGTGTGCAGCCAGCTGACCAGGAGATCTAAGCAGGTTTTCACCGTCCTGAAAATGATTTTTAAAACACAAAAACAAAACCTGGCTAAGTAACCAGAAGTGGGCTGACATCTTTGGGATGGAGCCCTACTAGGCAGGTTAATCCATACAAGAATCATTCTTGTGACTTACCGGATTTTTCGGAGCATAAGACGCACCCCCCCCCGCCCTAAAAATGGATGAAAATTTAGGTGCGTCTTATAGACTGAATATGGGCGTTTTGAGGCTCCCAAACACTCCACGTGTCGCATTTTTGCCCTCCCCAGCCCCCAGAAGCACTCTGCAGTGCTCCCCATGGCCTGTTTGCCCCCCCAAAACGGGTCTGTTTTTGGACTCCCAAGCCCTCTGCGTGTCACATTTTCGCCCTCCCAGGCTCCCAAAAGCATTCTGCAGCCCAAAAACGGGCATGGTTTTGGCAAAAATGGGCCCGTTTAGGGTGAAACAGGCTGTGCAAAGCAGTTCAGAGTGTTTTTGGAGGCCTGAGAGGGCGAAAACGCGAAGGCCAAAAACTCTTTTTTTCTTGTTTTTCTCCTGTAAATTTAGGTGTGTCTTGTAGTCCAAAAAATATGAGTACTTACACAATGGGAATAAACTTGGCCCGTGCCAAAAAGCTGCCAATGTAGTTCCCAGTGGTTTGCCGGATTACAGCAGGAACGTTGGGATTCTGTAGCTTTTTCCAGAGATGCTCCACAAAAGCCTCTGCAATTACCTGGAGGACATACAGAGCTATTAAGGCTGGGGCAGTGGCCACAAGTATCAGTTGGTCAGTCAGGGGAAAAGATTTAACTATAAATAATTGGGAGTCGGAATCCCAGGTTTATTTTATTTATTTGTTAAATTTATTTGGCCCCTGTCTCTCTGTGGGAATTCTCCAGGTGGCTTACAACAATAAAAAGGAATCAAAATGAAAAGGCGTTCAGAAGTAAATTAATAGAATAAACCATTTCAAAGGAACAGATCGGGGATTAAATACATCTATAGTTCCCAATGTACTTCTTTTTTTTTTCACTTCCAAACATTTTTAAAATTAGGTTATAGAGTATTATAAAATGCAAAATACAAAAATAAATAAAAGAGCAGTGAGAGGGAAGGGGGAGAGAGAAGTGGGGAAAGGTAGGGAAAAGAAAAGAAAAAAGTATTGACTTCCGACTAACTTCCGGATACCATGTTTTCCCAAAAATAAGAAAGGGTCTTATTTTCTTTTAACCCCCCCCTGAAAGAAGTGCTTGCCCTTATTTTTGGGGAGGTCTTATTATTATTATTGGGAATTTTTTTATTGTTTTAGTTAAACAAAAAGAAAAAAAAAGAAAAAAAAATCATCTTTCATTACATCTTGCTGAAAGCGTATCGATTGGTTACAAATATATTCCGTGCGTTTCTTTCACTGTCCTTACATATACTTCATTCAAAACATGTTGTACATTTTAATTCAAGAAATAAAAGTTATATATTTTACTATCCCTGTACCATAATTCTCATTTGGTTACCATTATTTAAACATTTTTTTATCTAGAATCATTTATATTAGAAGACACAACCACCTACTGGCGTTCATTTGCAATTTCAATAGATCTCCAATACCATTACACCTTTATGACATGTTCTAAAATTAATTCGGTTAAGTAAGATATCTAAGCATCCCCCCCGGTAATACTTTTATGTATCATTAAATATTGTCCATTAACATTTCATTGCTATTATTGTAGTTAACTAAAGGTTATTATTTTGAGGTGCAGGAGGTGGCAAGTGTGGTCACCTCATGACTGCCGCTGTGTTGCAATATTTTCGGGGGAGGGCTTATTTTAGCGCATGCGCTCAAATGCCCGATTGGGCTTATCATTATTCAAGGAGGTCTTATTTTCAGGGAAACAGGGTAGTTCCTAATGTACTTCTTGTCCAATTAAACCAAAATCAACTGTATTCTCTCAGGGATTTTGGGTGAGGGCAATAGCAGAAGGTAACTTGGTAAGTTTTAGCCAGTTTAACATTTCCTTGGAGATGGAGATAGGAAGATCTAGTTAAGGTGCGGGAGGAGACATAAGAAGGAAGGGAATTAAAGTTAACTACTTACCAATCTGAAACTAGAGAGGTAGAACATGATGAACTGCACATGACATGATCCATGGGTGGTTAAAATCAGCTTATCAAAGATAGCCACAAGGTCTCGGTATAAGTCTTTTGTGTTGCCAACATCAATTTTCCCTAGGAATAAAAAACATTCATGTTGCGAGAATTAAATTCTAAGAAAAATGAGGAGCTTTTAAAAAAGGCTGTGGCTTCGTGCAGCTCCCGGAGGCTGAATGTTCTATCATTAATACATCTATTTGGCACATCCTCTGAAAATCATGAACGGGGAAAGATTGACTGTCCTTAATTAGAAGAACTTGAATGGGATTAAGAGGAGCAAAAAACGTGGAGTTAAAGGATGACATGTTTTCCATTTACATGCCCAAATTATGAATTATGGCAATAACACTACAAACATCATCCAGGAATTCCTTTCAAGTGGGCGCCTACATTAAGCACAAATGCTCAGCTCAGCACTGCCAAATAACACTGGGAAACTGCCCCAGATTTATTACCATTAACGTAGCATATGTCTTTAATGTAGGAAAACATCACGATCATCAAGATGTCGAGGCGTTCTGCAATGGGATGAGCCATGAGTTCACTCTTCTCCAGATTCTCCCCATCTTCATCCTGTTAAAAAATCAAAACCCGGCTAAATATAGGTAGTCCTCAAACTTAACAGCAGTTCACTCACTTTCTGAGAGTGGGAATAATCAACCAACGGAACAGAAGTTGCCTTCAGAAGTTGTGGGAGGTTTCATCTCTGGAAGCTTTCAAGAAGAGGCTGGACTGCCATCTGTCAGAAACGGTGTAGGGTCTCCTGCTTTGGGCGGGGGGGTGTGTGTGTTGGACTAGATGACCTTCAAGGTCTCTTCCAACTCCTATGTTCTGCTATTCTATTCTATTCTGTTCTACTCTGTTCTGTTCTATTCTATTCTTCATTCAATTATTCTATTCTATTCTATTCTAACCTTATTCCGTTCCATTCTATTTTCTACTCTAATATTCTATTCTACTCTAATTATTCTATTCTATATTCTATTCTTATTCTATGTTATGTTCTATGTTCTATCTGAAGAGGCCCAGTGCTATTGTATCTTCTTTTAAATAGCAGAAAATCACGTATACTTCCAGAAAGCCACATCAATTTTAACAGCAAGTATAGTTTGAAATGCAACACCACAAACAGTGTATATCGTCTGTACTGTTTGCTACAAGGAGACAAATTGCTGGGAGGCAGATTCCCCATCACCATCTTGTTTTCCTCCCCAAAACCTAGGTGCGTCTTATACTTCGCAGCATCTTATATTCCAAAAATATGGTAGTTACAATTTGAGTAAGAGAACTTCAAAGCAACAATGGGAATCAACAATGAGATTAAAAACTGGCTACATTTCCTGATAAGAAACTATTCTTAAAGAGCTAAAAAAGCTCTTTGGCCTGTAAGATTTAGAATAATCTTAATACCGTTTAATGAGCAAATTTACCATATTGAAGAGTCCCTTCTCACCGTTTCCCTCTTCTTCTTCTTCGGCAGCTTCGATATCTTTTCTTGGGGCGCTTACCTGTTGAATTAAAATGGGATGGGCTTGAGTATTTCTGAAGTTATAGTTAAGGTATAGAAGTGTATAACAAGTGAGAGGTCCTTGGTGCCCTCTGAACTTCGTTGTTTTCTTGCAGACTTTTCATTACCCAAATTAGGTAACATCATCAGTGCTAGAGGAGAGTGTTCAAGGAACCAAGAGCAAACCTCACTCCTTCCAACACTGATTATGTTACCTAGTTTGGTTCATCAGACGTCTGCAAGAAAACAAACAAGCTCAGAGAACACCAAGGACTCCTCATTTCAACCCAGAGTGACAAATATTCTCCTTTATCAATGTATATAGCAAGTATATTCCTTATCTCATTGCCCAACAGTTCAGTAAATACAAACATAGCAGCACCGTTTACTGAAGGAATATGAAGTTTGCAAAGTTAAACCAGTTTTCACAAGGGGAACTATGGAGACCCTTTATAAAAAACCCAATTTGCAACATTTTGTACTTACATCAATTTTTAGCAGCTTCTCAACAACCAGCTCCAAAATGTCATGCCTCAACGCTGGGATATATACGCTTATTCGCAGCAAATTATGGAGATAACATTGCTGAAATGGAAGAATTTCCCATGAAAACACTGTCAAGGAATTTTAGAAATCACATCTAGAAAACTAAGAGAAACAAATCTTAGGACCTTGGTTTTTATATCCTAGTTTAGAATCATCACATATTTAAATACAGCATTCCTTAAAATCCAGTTTTTATCATACTGCTCAAACACAATATATCATCAGAGGTATTTTATCTGAGAAAGCAACTGGGTTCGTACGTTAAGTGGATTCATTTAACGTTTCTTAAGTTGCAATTTGTTAATTTCACACATGCTAAGCCATAAGCTATGCTGTGGCCAAACCAAACACATTGGGCTTAGCAAAGATAAGCAAAACTAATAATTAAATATCCAAAGGAGAAGAAGGCGTCAGTAAGAAGGGATGGACCACCAGTCTGTTTCTGAGCCGTCGAGATTTTCCATCAACAGATTTTTTTGCCTTTTAATTAAACGAGCAGTAGAGACCAAAAGCACGAAAGAATCTTCATTTCCAGAAAATCGGGTACTTACTAAGGTTCTTTCTGACTTGTTAATAAAGGGAAATTTTTCAGCCAGCACTGGCATGAGAAATTGCGGTGTCCTACAAGACAGAAAATATAAGCCATAGATAAGCAAAACCATCCTTTTATTTAGTTTGTTGTGTGGACTACAAACAAGGTTTAAAGAGCGTAGAAGAGCAAAACACAGATGCAGCAATCTTGGGAAAGTGCTTCCAGAATTGATCACACCGCAATCAATTCATAGTTTAGAAACAGATAGTTTCTAGACTATGAGATCAGATAGATAAGACTGTTCCTGTCTGTCCTATGTATGTTTGAGGATTCTGATTGTGTTTACCGGTTTCTCCTTCTCTATGGAACGTCATTCTCCCCAATGTATGATTTGCTTTTCAAAAAAAAACCACCCTGGAAACGTGGTTTTGTCAGTGGGCTTAGGGATCACGAATGCAGGTGGAGCCAGTTAAGTGGTTGATCTGATTGTGTTGCTGCTGCCACGGATGGGGTTGTGAGTTTTTATTGTTGCGAATGTTTAATTAGCTGCCCAGAGTCCCCTGTGTGAGAATTGGGTGAGCGTATAAATTTGCTTAATAATAAATAAGAAAAAAAATAAAACGTTTGCTTTGAAGATGCAGCACAGAGTGGCAATATCTGGGTGACCAGGACTTAACGCTGGAGAGGGTGAGGCCACATCATGGATATGTAGAGGATTGCGTTTGTGGTGAGAAGTCAGGGGTTTGTTTTTTTAATAATAATAATAATATGTTTATAGGGAGGGATATTCATGTGATACATGAAGAGCCTCATGCTGGGAAAGATTGAGGGCAAAAGGAGGGGACGATAGAGAAGGAGGTGGCTGGATGGAGTGACTGAAGCAGTCAGCGTGAGATTAAATGGACTCCGAAGGATGTCAGAGGACAGGAAGACCTGGAGGAATGTGGTCCATGGGGTTGCTATAGGTCAGACGTGACTTCATAGCTTCCGTTTCCCCAAAAATAAGACCTCCCCGGATAATAAGCCCAATCGAGCTTTTGAGCGCATGTGCTAAAACAAGCCTTCCCCCCAAAATAAGCCCTCCCTGAAAATATTGCGACACAACAGCAACTGTGAAATGACCATGCTTGCTGCATCCTGCACCTCAAAAATAATAAGACCTATCCAAAAATAAGGCCAAGTGCTTATTTTGGGGGTGGGGTGTGTGAGAAAATAAGACCCTGTCTTATTTTCGGGGAAACACGGTAACAAGAACAAAATTCACGTGTTTCCTAACTTAGCACATGGCCGGGCATTGCTGATACTTTCTAGAATCCTGTCTGGATGGGGCTATGTAATGTCAAGTGTGAAAGACTAGGCCCAACTGTGAAGCTTCAATTAAACTGATTTCATTGTTGAAAAGCCTATGGGCAGGAATCCTCTCAACTAACAAGTCGACACCTTGTTAGAATTAGATGAATTAAACAGCACTCAAGCCGTGACATGTCAAAACCGCGCCCGATTAAACCGCGTCGCTGACGTCATCAACAGTGTGACAACAGCCAGCGCGGAGAAAGAAGGGCGCTTTAAATAGCGCTTTGAAAGCAAGCCAATTCAACTTAAGGTAAGGGTTAGGTTTAGGGTTAAGGGTTAGGTTTAGGGGGGTTAGGTTTAGGGGTTAATTTTAGGTTTGGGGTTTACAGCATGGTTCTGTCTCTGCGCTGTTGTCGCCCTGTTGACGTCAGCGATGCGGTTTAGTCGGGCGCGGTTTTGTGGTGGAACCCACTCAAGCAGCGTTGGATTAAGTTCTTGTGACTATGTAGGATTTCTAGGCTGATTCCCCTTTTCACTCCACCCCCAGGTTCTACCACTCCTATCTGCGGGCAACCAAAAAGCAGCTTTTGTTACACACTGTCTTCCCCCAGCCCAGAAAGATATTTAACTTACAAAGGGACATATTTCACAATGGTCTGCAATGCTCTGTGGCAGGTGGTGAAGCTCTCGACAACATCTGCAGAGAGAAAAACAACCTGTCTATTAACCCAGAAAGTTCATGGACACAACTAGATTTCTACTTCAGCCGTGGTCAAGACCTTCTGTTCTGGCCTAGGCTTCCCAAGAGCATGAAGCAAACTCCTTGTCCTGACAAAATCCCCTTCTATTAATTGACTGTCAATTCTGCTCATTCACCTCCAGCAAAGTCTTTCAAGGGAGGATTTACAGTCACAGACCTCATCTGGCTTGGAGAGCTGCCAGGCCGAGATCTGCAAAACCTGGCAAGGAGCCTTGGAGAATCACGAACCAATGAAGCGAACGAATGGTCTCCTGCAAACTCCACTCCCCTTTTGCTCCTCCTTTATTTCCTCTAGGAGGGGCCGCTCATCATCCACCTGTGGCCTCACTCCCAAGTCAACCCCTGTTCTTTGGCTGTTTCCTTCGTCTGGCAGTTGCCCATGTGCACACTGGGAACAGGCTCCAGCTGCTCGTCTGCCTCACTGATGTCTGACTCTAAAGGCAGCCGATAGCAAAAACCGGAAGTACTCACTTTCATCGTCATCTGAATCGGAGATGTCCACATCATTCTCCCGGATGGTTATTCGGGCTGGGTAGAAACAGAAGGGCTTATAGTTATCTTGTTGATCATAAACAACAACAAAAAAAGCCTTGCAGAGCATTTTACAATGAATGAATGAATGAATAAATGAATCAATCAATCAGAAACACAGCTTTTCTTAACAGCTTTACAGTCGTCTTCCACAGAGCCTTGGAGGCTTTGAACCCAAGCTCCATTTCCTTGCCTTGAATTCCTATTATTAATTCCAAAATAAACAAATGAGAAACCACAACTGCTATTATTACTCTGGGCAAAAAGGCAATTTTATATCTTAATCAAAAAATGAATTAGTACGTTTTTTGGCAAGACAAATTATTACTATTATTATCATTATTATTGGCTAGCTCTGATGATGTCAGAGAGCAGCAAGGATCCTTCAAGACAGATTTTATTATTATTATTTGTAATACTGAATAATTATTTTTCCCTCCTCCAAAGTAGATTCATTCTATTTGAGGTGATGCATACAGAGAATCTTTCTGTTTTCTGTTTCTTCTTTTTTAAGTGGAGTAGTTGTGTTCTTAGGGGTGATGGTTAATTTTTTTTGGGGGGGGGGTATTAAAATATTTTCTATTTCTGAAAAGAAAGGGAGGAGAGAATGAAAGTAAGACGGGGGGAAAGAAGAAAAAGGTAAGGAGAGAATGGAAGGGAGAGGAAGAGAAGGAGAGAGGGTAGGAAGGGGAAGAGGAAGAGTAGGAGAAAGGTAAGGGAAGAAGGAAGGGGAAGGAGAGGAGGAAGGGAGAGAAACAGAAGGAGAGAGGGTAGGAAGGGGAAGAGAAAGAGTAGGAGTAGGAGAAAGGTAAGGGAAGAAGGAAGGGGAAGGAGAGGAGGAAGGGAGAGAAACAGAAGGAGAGAGGGTAGGAAGGGGAAGAGAAAGAGTAGGAGTAGGAGAAAGGTAAGGGAAGAAGGAAGGGGAAGGAGAGGAGGAAGGGAGAGAAACAGAAGGAGAGAGGGTAGGAAGGGGAAGAGAAAGAGTAGGAGTAGGAGAAAGGTAAGGGAAGCAGGAAGGGGAAGGAGAGGAGGAAGGGAGAGAAACAGAAGGAGAGAGGGTAGGAAGGGGAAGAGAAAGAGTAGGAGTAGGAGAAAGGTAAGGGAAGCAGGAAGGGGAAGGAGAGGAGGAAGGGAGAGAAACAGAAGGAGAGAGGGTAGGAAGGGGAAGAG